AACCAAAAATCCCTAGATTGACAAAGTCAAATTATGAAAATTGGAGCATTAAAATGAAGGCGTTACTTGACTCGCAAGATTTTGGGATATTGTCGAGGAAGGTTATGTCGAACCTGAAAATACAGCATCAGAAGCAGCTTTAACCAATGAAGAGAAACGGGTACTAAAGGAATCCTGCAAGAAAGATAAAAAGTTGTTGCTCTTTATTTTTCAAGGAGTAGACGAATCTACTTTTGAAAAAAAAAATTGATGTAAAGATCGCAAAGCAAGCTTGGGAGATTTTGCAAAAATCTCTCCAAAGTGCCAAAAAAAGAAAAAAAAATGTATGTTTACAATCTCTAAGAACTGAGTTTGAAAAGTTGAAAATGAAAATATAGAAAATACTGATGATTATGTCAATCGAATAAAAACAGTGGTAAATGAAATGAAGAGAAATGGTGAATTACTCGATGAAGTTAGAGTGATGGAAAAAAATTTGCAGTCACTAACACAAAAATTCGACTATGTGTTCGTGGCAATCGAAGAATTGAAAGATTTGTTTCAAATATTGATCGATGAGCTTGTTGGTTCACTCTAAGCCCATGAGCAGAATATTAAACAAAATGAAGATACTGAAAATTTAGAGTAAACTTTGCAAAGCAAGATGAATGTCAATGAAGGTGAAGCAGTAGTAGCTACATACGAGCTCAAGGAAATCGTGGTGGTTATCGTAGAAGATACAAAGGCATATGAGGAACACGAGGACATGGTGGTCGATCATATGACACTACTCAAACAAGTAAAAATTACCCATTATCAGGAAAGTTGGATCACTATAGTTATGAGTGTCGATCAACCCCTAGGTAGGAAGAAAGCAATAACATAGCATAATTTGAAGAAGAGAAAATTAAAAAAAATCTCATGTATTTCTTACTTACAAAGGAAATGAAGAATTCAAGAAAAAAATTTAGTATCTAGACAATTGTGCCAACAACCACATGTGTGGCCGAAATGAGCTGTTTGTGAAGTTAGAAGAAACAATCCATGGTGGAGTAACATTTGGAGATGACTCGCACGCAGAACTCAAAGGAAAATGTGAAGTCGTGATTACTCAGAGAAATGGTGAAAAGAAATACATCTCAGATGTGTATTATGTACGAGCTTTGAAAAGCAATATCATTAGCCTTTGATAGCTTCTTGAAAAAGGATACGAAGTGGAGATGAAGAATTGCTCGCTTTCCATCAAAAATAAATATGGAGAATTGATTGCCCAAATATATATGACTTGAAATCGTCTCTTTACTATTGATATTGAGTCAGTAGAAGTCAAGTGCATGAAGATTGCAATCAAAGATGATTCATGGTTATGACATTTACGATATGGGCATCTTGGTTTTTCGGGCTTGAAGTTATCAAAGGAAAATTTGGTGAAAGGTGCCAAAAATCAATCCTCTAAATCAACTATGTGAGGCTTGCATTAAAGGAAAGCAACACATACAAAGTTTTGAAGTTGACAGATCGTGCAAGCCCGAAGACCTTTGGAGATAGTACACACAAATATAGTCGGTCCTTTTGACATACCATCGCTTAGCGATAATAGGTATTATCTAACTTTTATTGATGATTTTAGCAGAAAATGTTGGATTTATATATTGAAAAAAAAATCAGAAGCTTTGGAAAAATTGAAATATTTAAAGCAATGGCAGAAAAACAAAGTGGTCAATATTTAAAAATACTCAAATCAGATAGAGGAGGCAAGTATACATCAAATTTATTTGAGGATTTCTATAAAGAGTATGGCATCATCCATCAGCTGACAGTTAGATACACACCCTAACAAAATGAAGTAGCATGAAGAAATAATCGTACAATCCTTGACATGGCAAGAAGCATGATAAAAAAATAAACATCTACCGAAAAATTTATGGGCCGAAGCAGTATGTTGTGCAATTTATTTGTTAAATCGATGTTTAAACAAAAGTGTGAAGTATATGATGTCAAATGAAGCATGTAATGGTCAGAAACCAAGAATTGGACATCTCAAGATTTTCGGGTGCTTCGCATACGCCCATGTTCCTGAGTAGACCAAAAAGAAGCTTGATGATAGAGGAGAAAAATGTATTTTCATCGGTTATGATGAAAGAAGTAAAGCCTACAGACTATATAATCCTCTTACTAAGAAGGTAATAATTTCAAGAGATGTCGAGTTCCATGAAGTATAATGTTAAATGGAGTAAAGAATGAAAGAAATTTGAAGGAATATTATTTAAAGAAGATAAAGATGATGACGATCTTATCATTCAAGATGAATAAAATGATGATCAAGGTTCTCAACAAAATGCACCATCGTCATCAAGAAGTAGCAGTGGTGGTAGCAACATAATAGAAAGTTATGAAGTACCTCCAATAGAAGTTCAAAGATCTATAAGGGAGAGAATGATACCAGAAAGGTACAATGATTATGAATTACAAAATGTCTCACTTTTCAGTCTACTTGCGAAGAGTACTCTCATAACAAATGAAGAATCAGTCATAGATGACAAGAAGAAAAAACTTAGAATGGAAAATCAGGTTTGAGGGGAGTGTTAGAAATCAAACATGCTTTTCCATTAATGTCGACAAAGCTTGAATCAAAATAGTGGATTAAGAAATGTCCACTTGGAGAGCCATATGGATAACCATATATGTCAAGTGAATATGAAGTTGTGTGGCAACACAACCTGGAAATTTAATCACATTATCAACACAAAGAACTTAACAATTAAGAGAATGAAGTGGCAGCAAACAATTAACATTTGGCGGCAGCTTAAGGATTCAAAATTGAGAATGAATTAATGGAGGCAACGTGGCAAGAAAATGAACATGGAATTTGAGCACGGCAAGGATGTACAATGGCGACAATACTTGCAGACAATACACGAAATTTTTGAGGCGACTAATCTACTACTATATATATGTACTTAGCTTAGTTTAAATAGGATATATGTACATGAGTGAAAAGAAAAAAATCAAGAGATAGTGAAGCTTAGTAAAACTTTGATAGTGGAGTTGTGTTTGTAAACTAGCCGTAGCTAGTGTTTGTATCGTAATTATATTTTAATTCGTATTAATAATGTTGTGCAAGTGATAAAGTATACCGAGTGTCAAGATAGCTGACATTGAAGGAAGCCTATGAGAAGCTTATTTTATTGGGTCTATTTTAGAATATTCGAAGACGTGCTCAACAGTGGTGAAACTCAACATTATAGGTTGGGAGGCCATTTAATTTTTTTTCATGTATTAATTAAAATATTTTAATATTTTTATTAATGTAAGTTGTATATTACAATATCATATTATTAAACGAATATTTTATAAATCATTAAAATTCATCCATTCACATAAAAATTCAAAGAAATAAAATTCATCTATTTTTTATTTGATTTCACCCAACTTATAACATATAATCATAAAAATATATCAATATAATTTTATAAGATATTCACATAATTTACAAATTTAATGAATAAATTTTGTATTTTACATTTATATTTATATAATCAAGATATTCAGAGGCATTTTAATATATATGTGCGTGTCTAAGTTGTTATTTTTATAGATGAAAAATTTTAAACGATATAATGAATATAAATATTTGAAATAAAATTATAAATATAAATTAAACTGAAAATATTTAAAAAGAAAATTACTTTCAACCTAAATGAAATATTTGATAACTTGGTTGAAATCTTTAACTCAAAGATGATGAACAATTAAACATAGAAAAATACGAGAAACTTTTTTGTATCTTAAAATAGAAATATCAAAGAAAAATGAATTTTCATTTATTTAAAAAAAATAATAATATAAAAAATAGATGTTAACTCTTTTTAGTAAATGATATTCAAGTGATTTTCAAAAGCTAAAGTAGTATACACATTTTTTTAGAAAAATCATATTTAATAATTTATTATACACATTTTTAACTTAATAATTTAAGGATAAATTATATGTTTAGTATCTAAACTATCAATTTTATTTCGTTTTAATACCTAAATTTTATTTTTTAAATCATATCTAGCGTTTAGTTTAGGTTTTAATTTGGTATCGGCTGTTAAAAACTTAACGGCATCGATGACATGAAATTTACGTTACAAAATGTGTTGAATATCGAGAAAAGGAAAATAATTCCATGTCATCTCTGCCGCTAAGGTTTTAACGATGAGTACCAAATTAAAACGTAAACTAAATGTTTGATATGATTTTCAAAAATTAAATTTAAGTATTAAAACATAACAAAACTAATATTTTAAGAACTAAATACGTAATTTACTCATAGGCCCCACTAATCTTCCGCCATTGGTGCTCAATGTCAACCCTCATTGTTTATAATAGATCTGATAATAATACAGGTTCTGCTTCCTCTACCCACAATTGCAGATCAAACAATAAGCTTTAAACTTCACTTTAGCTATAATCTCCAACAACCCTTTTTCCCATCACCTCAAACATGTCCGACGCTTTAGCAGTCGAAGTAGCAGCAACCGTATTGGCCAAACTGAGCAGTGCTGCATTCCAGGAACTTTGCTCCATCTGGGGTGTCCAAGACGAGCTCGAAAAGCTTAAGGACGTGCTAATGGCTATCCAAGCTGTGTTGGTGGATGCTGAAGAGCAACAGATGCATATTTAGTGTTTCTTTTTAGAGAGCTATATTCAGCTTCTCAACTCACTCTCAAACATTCACAATTCACTTACAAAAGTGTTTTCTACAGTTCTCTCTGTGAGTTTTCTCTGAGTGCTTTCCAATCACAAGAGCAATACCACCAGCAGTCCACTCCGATTTCGGGTGTACGGAATTCGGAACGACCGTGCTAACCTCGGGGGACGGTCCGCCTACTGCAGCGATTACACACATCGGGACGAATTCGTTTTTAAAGCAGTGGTTTTTATCACGACACGATTTACGAATTTATTCCTTTTAATTACTGTTCATATTTTCAGTCAGTGCTAATGGTGTAATTTTGTAGTTTATATATCCAACAATGTGTGGGGTTGCTCAGGGGAGTAAAATAATTGTCACAACTTGTAGTCACAGAGTGGCTACAATCACAGGCACGACCTCTCACTATGATTTAGAGCATCTCTCTGACGATAATTGTTTGTCTTTGTTTATTAAACTTGCATTCAAAGAAGGTGAAGAGAAACAACACAAAAATCTTGTGAGAATTGGGAAAGAAATTGTTCTGAAATGCAAAGGGGTTGCTTTGGCTGTGAAGACTTTAGGTGGCCTACTTTGTTCAACCAGGTTAGAATATGATTGGAAAGTTGTGAGAGATAGCGAGTTATGGGAGCTGGAACAAAAGGAAAATGACATTTTGCCTGCTCTCAAATTAAGTTATGATCACTTGCCTTGGTATTTAAAGCAATGTTTTGCCTTCTGCTCAGTTTTTCTTAAAGATTTTGAATTTGATAGTTTGATATTGATCTCAATGTGGATGGCAAATGGGCTTGTGCAATGTTCAAACAAAAATGAGGAGCTAGAAGATATTGGGAATCGGTATATACACGAGTTATGGTCAAGATCTTTCTTCCAACAACTTGAAGATGGGATTTTTACGTTCAGCTTCAAAATGCGTGATTTAGTACACGATCTTGCACTATCAGTGGCACAAAATGATGTTAGTTCGACTGGTAATGTTCAACATTTATATTTTGACTTGTCAGGGCAGGGTGCCTCTCTATTGCCCAATAACATGGGCCATCTGCGAACACTAATTTTCCAGTCAAATCAAGAACAGAAGGATGGAGATTGCCAGAGTTGTCGTCTCTACCAGAAGGGATGCAACACCTCACTGAACTCGAAGAGTTGACGATCACAGAGTGTCCAAAATTAGACGAAAGATGCATGGAAGAAACTGGTGAAGACTGGCCTAAGATTGCTCACGTCCCTGATATTACTATCTGCTGATCGAAACAATAGAGAGACCTCAACGATCGAGTAGAGTTTGTGGATTTCTCCATGTTTTAATACATTATCAGTACAATCTTCTATTGAAGTCGTAATTTTGTACCAAAAATGATTAGTTCTTCATTTGAATATTCGGAGGAAAAGATACAAAAATTTACGAGAAATTTTATTTTCTTAATGTTATGTAAGGATTAATTTTAGTTAGTTAATTTATGATTACATTATTCTTTTGATTAAATAATTTTATTTTTATTATTTTTTAAATATTGATGATGGAATGGTTTTATTTATTAAACACTGCTCTACTTATCATATCACCCATCTTGATTATAGTGAAAGAAAAATAAATGAATTTTTTATCATCAATAATAAAAGGGTAAATCACATGTTTAGTACTTAAACTATCAGTTTTATTTCGTTTTAGTACTTAAACTTTCACTTATTTCGTTTTAGTACTTAAACTTTCACTTGTTTCGTTTTAGTACTTAAACTTTCACTTGTTTCAAAATCATACCTAATGTTTACTTTTTATTTCGTTTTGGTGACTTGTCGTTTAAAACTTAGCGGAACTGTTACAACATGGTATTTTTTTATGGGTAAATTACATCATTCATCACTTAAATCTTCTCACTCCTATTTTGGTCACTGAAGTTTAATTTTTTAATTTAATTACTTAACTTTCAAATTACTCCTAATTTAATTACTCTTATATTTTTTAATTAAATAATAATAATAAATGTCACAAAAATTATTAAAAAAATAAATTATAAATGATTAAAGCATGAGCAATTTGAAATTTGAGTAGTTAAATTGAAATTTTTTAAATTTTAGTGATCAAAATAGGAGTGAGAAGATAATTAAGTCATGAATGATGTAATTTACCCATAAAGAAATACCACGTGTAGTAGTTCCTTTAAATTTTTAACGACATGGTACTAAAATGAAACAAAAAGTAAATATTAAGTATTGTTTTAAAACAAATGAAAGTTTAGGTATGAAATTGTGAAGTATTTTACTTCAGAGATCAATTGTCTATGTCCTTTGATTCCCAATTAAGGGATATGATTCTTCGAGAGGCTCATTGCATCTCATTTGTTGTGCATCTTGGGAGTAATAAAATGTATCAAGAACTTCGTTTTACTGTATTAATGGCAATGTATGAAGAGGGATATATCCAAGTTTATATCTAGATGTTTGGCTTGTCAACAAATTAAGACTGAACATCAAGTTCTTTCATTTCTAACCTATTCAAATTCCACAGTGAAAATGAGATCGAGTGATAATAGACTTTGTGACAGGATTGTTGATGACTTGATGTAAGGATGATACCGTTTAGGTGATTGTATATCAATTAAATAAGATCGTGCATTTCTTATCGATACGTATGGATATCATCCCCATGAGAATGACTTAGTTTTACATTGAGGGAATTCTTAGGCTTCATGGTGTGCGATTTTGATTATGTCTGATAATGATTCCATTTCACTTCATGGTGTGCGATTTTGGGTTCTTTGTTAAATTTTGACACTGCTTACAATCATCAAATTGGTAGTTAGCCCGAAAAAGTTATTCAGATCTGGAAGGATATTTATTGATGTTGTATCATCGTGTTTGAGGATAGTTGAGAAGACAATCTTTTACTAGAATAATAATTATTAATCAAATATTTAAATGGTTCCGTTTGAGGTGTTATATGGATACAAATATAACACTTTTTTGTGTGTTGGACTAAACTTAGCAAGGGAATGCTGGTTGGACCAGATTTTATCAAAGAAATCGAAGACACGATTCGATTCATCCGAGATATACATAAGGTAGCTTTCGATCGTCAAGAGTCTTCTTTGAGATTCAGAATTCCCATAGTTTGCTTTAGATTCCTCATGGCCAACAATCAATAAAACGAAACCTCCAAACTGATTTCATGCTGCTCATCTAACCAAAAAAAACATGATAAAACCTTAAAACATGTCATAAGGACAAACAAATTAATAAAATATATAAACTATGAAAATTTAATATTTTATCATATTAATTTAGAAAATCTATCATATTAATAATTGCATTTACTATTTAATGACGAAGAATTAAAATGGTAAATTTTTATAGTATTAATAATTAAATTAAACTTTTAATTTAATAATCAAAATAAAAATATACATGGTAAATTGTTTAATTTTTAAAAAAATCCAAAATATTTAAATTCAGATTAATTCGACTGAAAAAATTAAAATATTAATAAATTGGATTCAAAAAATTATATATGATAATATATATATATATATATTAATAATTTAAAATAATTACAAGATAGTGTATGTTTAGAATATTTCTTCACCTATTAACAACCCGCACTCCTAATAAATATAGTTGAACTCAAATCTTTTGAAAGGACAATATTCGCAATCAGTAGATTAAATCTACAATATTTTGAATAATTTGAAAGGTAAACTACATAAATGATTATTAATTTTTAAGTAAATTTGTTTTTGTGTACTGATATTTTAAAACTAACGATTTTGTCATTAAGCGTTATCGACTCGATATTATTTTGCCATGTGATGCAATCTTCTGCCTTCAAACCTTCACAGCAATAAATGGGATCCTTGTTTTGGAGCAATTAAAGCAGTCGTCGCCTTTTTCGCTGACGAAACCTCCAACTCAACCACCTCAAGCTTATCCTCCATTTGGGTACGAGAAACCACGACAGAGTCTTCTTCTATCAGCTTAAAGACCATGACGGCTAATGTTTTGGTGGAGGAACATCAATTTCATCGAGAAGCCACCAAACCAGTGAATTCCAAAGCAAAGACAACGAAGATGATGATATAACGTAACAAAGAGAATGCAAGAAGAACAAAGTTCAAGAATGTTCTGGGGAAGTAAATCTGAATTTAAATGTCGAACTAAATAATCTGTTGGCTTACCTAGTTTTCCCAATGTTGGTCCCGTACCATACCCTCATCTCCAATTTGTATTGATCGCCAACGGGTTCCCTTTTTCTTGCGTAAATTCAGTGCCATCTTAGAGTGGTGGATTGTTGGTACAGGGAATGGTAAGGTTGAGATGAGTAGCGGGTTACAAACGATTCATTTTCATCATGCAAACATATATGATTCGGAGAAAAATAGCAGCAAATATGAAATGAATAGGAAAATTGGGTCCAACGGGTCGTCCATGTATAGTTCTTCCCTTGATTTTGGTTTGAGAACTGTGATTTTGAACAATGCATTGGTTAATGGAAAATAATGAAACTTATGTATCATTCTCGTGAATGGCTATTGCAAAGTCTTCCTATGTCAATTTTGTGAGGAAGTAACTTCATTGAAGAAATGTGAAACCAAGATGCATATCATTTATTGAACTATACCACTGCTTATATGCAAGAGATTACAACCACTATAACTACTCATAACAGCTAACAACTAACAGTTAATAACTACCCCTAACAACTTCCTAATTACACAACTAACTGCACACATCAACAACACCTTCATCATTCAACATTCTCTCTACTTCTTATTCTTTCTCCCCGAGAAAAGAATGCACTTTCACCCTGGCTTTAAACACTTCAAATTAAGTATCAGCTAGAAGCTTTGTGAATCCATCAGCAACCTGATGACTACCTAGCACATAGTTCACCAATACTTTCTTTAACACCACCTTCTCACGAACAAAGTGAACATCAAGCTCTACATGCTTACTCTTTGCATGATAGATATGATTAGCTGTCATGGCCACAACACTACTGTTATCATACCAAACTATTGGAACTTTATGCCTTACAACACCCAAATCACTCAGAAGAGCATCCACCCATGTTGTTTCAGCAGTAATATCTGCAACACTTCTGTACTCAGCCTCTATAGTCGACCTGGAAACTGACTTTTGTTTCCTATAGTTCCACATCACAAGATTATCACCTAAAAACACACAATAGCTAGAGATAGATTTACGGTCATTAGTGTTTGTAGCCCAATTAGTATCAGCAAAGGCTACAACATTGAACCTGCCACTGCAGGTGCCATGATCAAACCATGATTAATCGTTCCCACCAAGTACCTCAAAATCCTTTTAACTGCAACAAGATGTTCTTGTCTTGGAGAATGCATGTACTGTGTTGCCTTATTAACACTAAATGCAATGTCTGGACGAGTATGACATGCATATAACAATGCACCTACAATGCTTTGATACTCATAGGCATTCTGAAGCAATACCCCTGCACCTTGACTCAACTTAGCAGACACAAGCATGGGTGTAGATACAAGATTGGCAGTACTCGTTTTTGTCTTCATTAACAACTCTAGGATAAACTTACTTTGGCTAAGAATTAATGAACTACCACAACGCTTAACTTCTATGCCCAGAAAATGATGTAGATCACCAAGATCTTTAAAAGCAAACTCACTCCCAAGCAACCTCACTACTTCTTCAATCCTCCTGTTGGAGCTTCCAGTCAACACTATATCATCAACATACACAAGTATGTAAATACATTGATCGTCTACCCAATGACCAAACAATGGCGTATATGTTGAAGATTCTTTAAACCCAATCTTAACTAGAAAATTCTTCAATTTGTCATGCCAGTTTTGAGGAGCTTGGCATAAACCGTACAATGCCTTTTTTAACCTGCACACCAAGTGAATACCATCAGTAGCTACTTGCTCGAACCCAGGTGATTGTTGCATGAACACCTCTTCATACAGATCACCATGCAAAAATGCATTGTTTACGTCCACCTGGAACAACTACCAGCCATTCGTAACAGCTAATGAAATGGCAACATTCAACGTTGCAAATCTGACAACCGGACTGAATGTTTCACCAAAATCATATCCTGGCACTTGAGAAAACCCTTTAGCTACTAACCTAGCTGTATATCTGCTAATAGAGCCATCAAGGTTCTTTTTCAATTTAAACAGCCATTTACACCCAACCATTGACCGTTCTTCAAGTATTTTCACTAGGGTCTATATACCATTCTTCCTTAAAGCTTC